ATTATCGCTATTGATCTCTGACAGGGATATCGATGTATAATTGGTTAGTATTATCACTATTGATTGATTTCTGACAGGGATATCGATGTATAATCGGTTAGTATTATCGCTATTGATTTCTGACAGGGATATCGATGTATAATCGGTTAGTATTATCGCTATTGATTGATCTCTGACAGGGATGTCGATGTATAATTGGTTAGTATTATCGCTATTGATCTCTGACAGGTATATCGATGTATAATTGGTTAGTATTATCGCTATTGATCTCTGACAGGGATATCGATGTATAATTGGTTAGTATTATCGCTATTGATCTCTGACAGGGATATCGATGTATAATCCGTTAGTATTATCGCTATTGATCTCTGACAGGGATATCGATGTATAATCGGTTAGTATTATCACTATTGATTGATTTCTGACAGGGATATCGATGAATAATCGGTTAGTATTATGGCTATTGATCTCTGACAGGGATATCGATGTATAATCGGTTAGTATTATCGCTATTGATTGATTTCTGACAGGGATATCGATGTATAATCGGTTAGTATTATGGCTATTGATCTCTGACAGGGATATTGATGTATAATCGGTTAGTATTATCACTATTGATTGATTTCTGACAGGGATATCGATGTATAATCGGTTAGTATTATCGCTATTGATATCGCTATTGATCTCTGACAGGGATATCGATGTATAATCGGTTACTATTATCACTATTGATTGATTTCTGACAGGGATATCGATGTATAATCGGTTAGTATTATCGCTATTGATCTCTGACAGGGATATCGATGTATAATCGGTTAGTATTATCGCTATTGATTGATTTCTGACAGGGATATCGATGTATAATCGGTTAGTATTATGGCTATTGATCTCTGACAGGGATATCGATGTATAATCGGTTAGTATTATCGCTATTGATTGATCTCTGACAGGGATATCGATGTATAATCGGTTAGTATTATCGCTATTGATCTCTGACAGGGATATCGATGTATAATCTGTTAGTATTAGCGCTATTGGTCTCTGACAGGGATATCGATGTATAATCGGTTAGTATTATCACTATTGGTCTCTAACAGGGATATCGATGTATAACGGTTAGTATTATCGCTATTGATCTCTGACAGGGATATTGATGTATCATCGGTTAGTCTTATCACTATTGACTGATTTCTGACAGGGATATCGATGTATAAACGGTTAGTATTATCGCTATTGATCTCTGACAGGGATATCGATGTATAATCGGTTAGTATTATGGCTATTGATTGATTTCTGACAGGGATTTCGATGTATAATCGGTTAGTATAATGGCTATTGATCTCTGACAGGGATATTGATGTATAATCGGTTAGTATTATCACTATTGACTGATTTCTGACAGGGATATCGATGTATAATCGGTTAGTATTATCGCTATTGATCTCTGACAGGGATATCGATGTATAATTGGTTAGTATTATCACTATTGATTGATTTCTGACAGGGATATCGATGTATAATCGGTTAGTATTATCGCTATTGATTTCTGACAGGGATATCGATGTATAATCGGTTAGTATTATCGCTATTGATTGATCTCTCTCTGACAGGGATGTCGATGTATAATTGGTTAGTATTATCGCTATTGATCTCTGACAGGGATATCGATGTATAATTGGTTAGTATTATCGCTATTGATCTCTGACAGGGATATCGATGTATAATTGGTTAGTATTATCGCTATTGATCTCTGACAGGGATATCGATGTATAATCCGTTAGTATTATCGCTATTGATCTCTGACAGGGATATCGATGTATAATCGGTTAGTATTATCACTATTGATTGATTTCTGACAGGGATATCGATGAATAATCGGTTAGTATTATGGCTATTGATCTCTGACAGGGATATCGATGTATAATCGGTTAGTATTATCGCTATTGATTGATTTCTGACAGGGATATCGATGTATAATCGGTTAGTATTATGGCTATTGATCTCTGACAGGGATATCGATGTATAATCGGTTAGTATTATCGCTATTGATCTCTGACAGGGATATCGATGTATAATCGGTTAGTATTATCACTATTGATTGATTTCTGACAGGGATATCGATGTATAATCGGTTAGTATTATCGCTATTGATTGATTTCTGTCAGGGATATCGATGTATAATCGGTTAGTATTATCGCTATTGATCTCTGAGAGGGATATCGATGTATAATCGGTTAGTATTAACGCTATTGGTCTCTGACAGGGATATCGATGTATAATCGATTAGTATTATCGCTATTGATTGATTTCTGACAGGGATATCGATGTATAATCGGTTAGTATTATCGCTATTGATCTCTGACAGGGATATCGATGTATAATCTGTTAGTATTAGCGCTATTGGTCTCTGACAGGGATATCAATGTATAATCGGTTAGTATTAGCGCTATTGATCTCTGACAGGGATATCGATGTATAATCGGTTAGTATTATCACTATTGATCTCTGACAGGGATATCGATGTATAATCGGTTAGTATTATCACTATTGACTGATTTCTGACAGGGATATCGATGTATAATCGGTTAGTATTATCGCTATTGATCTCTGACAGGGATATTGATGTATAATCGGTTAGTATTATCACAATTGATTGATTTCTGACAGGGATATCGATGTATAATCGGTTAGTATTATCGCTATTGATCTCTGACAGGGATATCGATGTATAATCGGTTAGTATTATCACTATTGATCTCTGACAGGGATATCGATGTATAATCGGTTAGTATTATCACTATTGATCTCTGACAGGGATATCGATGTATAACGGTTATTATTATCGCTATTGATCTCTGACAGGGATATTGATGTATAATCGGTTAGTCATCACTATTGACTGATTTCTGACAGGGATATCGATGTATAAACGGTTAGTATTATCGCTATTGATCTCTGACAGGGATATCGATGTATAATCGGTTAGTATTATCGCTATTGATTGATTTCTGACAGGGATATCGATGTATAATCGGTATTATGGCTATTGATCTCTGACAGGGATATCGATGTATAATCGGTTAGTATTATCACTATTGATTGATTTCTGACAGGGATATCGATGAATAATCGGTTAGTATTATCGCTATTGATCTCTGACAGGGATATCGATGTATAATCGGTTAGTATTATTCACTATTGATTGATTTCTGACAGGGATATCGATGTATAATCGGTTAGTATTATCGCTATTGATCTCTGACAGGGATATCGATGTATAATCGGTTAGTATTATCGCTATTGATCTCTGACAGGGATATCGATGTATAATCGGTTAGTATTACCACTATTGATCTCTGACAGGGATATCGATGTATAATCGGTTAGTATTATCGCTATTGATCTCTGACAGGGATATCGATGTATAATCGGTTAGTATTATCACTATTGATTGATTTCTGACAGGGATATCGATGTATAATTGGTTAGTATTATCGCTATTGATTGATTTCTGACAGGGATATCGATGTATAATCGGTTAGTATTATCGCTATTGATCTCTGACAGGGATATCGATGTATAATCGGTTAGTATTAGCGCTATTGGTCTCTGACAGGGATATCGATGTATAATCGGTTAGTATTATCACTATTGATTGATTTCTGACAGGGATATCGATGTATAATCGGTTAGTATTATCGCTATTGATTTCTGACAGGGATATCGATGTATAATCGGTTAGTATTAGCGCTATTGATTGATCTCTGACAGGGATATCGATGTATAATCGGTTAGTATTATCGCTATTGATCTCTGACAGGGATATCGATGTATAATCGGTTAGTATTATCGCTATTGATTGATTTCTGACAGGGATATCGATGTATAATCGGTTAGTATTATCGCTATTGGTTTCTGACAGGGATATCGATGTATAATCGGTTAGTATTATCGCTATTGGTCTCTGACAGGGATGTCGATGTATAATTGGTTAGTATTATCGCTATTGATCTCTGACAGGGATATCGATGTATAATCGGTTAGTATTATCGCTATTGATCTGACAGGGACATCGATGTATAATTGGTTAGTATTATCGCTATTGATCTCTGACAGGGATATCGATGTATAATCGGTTAGTATTATCGCTATTGATCTCTGACAGGGATATCGATGTATAATCGGTTAGTATTATCGCTATTGATTGATTTCTGACAGGGATATCGATGTATAATCGGTTAGTATTATCGCTATTGATCTCTGACAGGGATATCGATGTATAATCGGTTAGTATTATCGCTATTGATTGATTTCTGACAGGGATATCGATGTATAATCGGTTAGTATTATGGCTATTGATCTCTGACAGGGATATCGATGTATAATCGGTTAGTATTATCGCTATTGATTGATCTCTGACAGGGATATCGATGTATAATCGTTATGTATTATCGGTTAGTATTTATCTGACAGGGATATCGATGTATAATCGGTTAGTATTATCTATTGGTCTCTAACAGGGATATCGATGTATAACGGTTAGTATTATCGCTATTGATCTCTGACAGGGATATTGATGTATATCGGTTAGTCTTATCACTATTGACTGATTTCTGACAGGGATATCGATGTATAATCGGTTAGTATTATCGCTATTGATCTCTGACAGGGATATCGATGTATAATCGGTTAGTATTATGGCGCTATTGCTATTGATTGATCTCTGACAGGGATATTGATGTATAATCGGTTAGTATTATCGCTATTGATCTCTGACAGGGATATCGATGTATAATCGGTTAGTATTATCGCTATTGATCTCTGACAGGGATATCGATGTATAATCGGTTAGTATTATCGCTATTGATCTCTGACAGGGATATCGATGTATAATCGGTTAGTATTATCGCTATTGATTGATTTCTGACAGGGATATCGATGTATAATCGGTTAGTATCGCTGTTATCGCTGACCGGAAGTGGTCGCGGTGGAGGGGGGGGCTGGCCGGAAGTGGCGGTGAGCGGTGACGCAGTGAGTGACGCAGCCGGTGCCGTGCCCGCGCTCTGTGTGTGGGTGTGCGCGCTCCCGCACCCTCTCCGTTATTCTACTGACGGAGCCCCGGACACCCCGCACCCCATCACTGGCTCCGAGACCGCGCACCCTCCGGAGCTACTTACCTACCCCCAGCTAGATCTAATTACCCCCCATCTACCCCCAGCTAGAAATACCTACCCCCATCTAACCCCAGCTAGACTCCACTACCCATCTAACACCTCAGCTAGACGTCCACACTATCCCCCATCTACCCCCTGTAGCTAGAGATCTAATTACCCCATCATACCCCCCCAGCTAGAGACCCATCACCATCTACCCCAGCCAGGACCCTAGCTACCCCCATCTACCCCCAGCTAGAGCTAATTACCCCCATCTACCCCAGCTAGATCTAATTACCCCCATCTAGATCTACATAACCCTCATTTATCCCCAGCTGATCTAACTACCCTTTATTTGCCCTGAAATGGCTATAGTTGCCCCCAGCTGGATCCAATTCCTCCTGTTTACATTACTACTGGATCTATCACCCACCTGGATTTAATTCCTACATCTACCCTACTGCTGGATCTATTTACTTCCACCAATCCCTCAACTGGAACTACTTACCCTATCAACCCCCCACCTGGAGTTAAACTCTCTACCCCCCCCATATCGGCTCACTTGGATCTCACACCCTACTACCTCACACAAGGATCCAATTACCCTCAACTGAATCTCTGGTTATAATATCCCTGAACCCACAATTTCATCCCTCAGATCTTGCATCCCTTATCACATTACCCCTCAGATCCGCATCCCTTATTACATCACTCTTCGGATCTGGCCCCCCTTATTACATCACTCCTCAGATCCGTAATCCCTTATCACATCGCTCCTTAGATCCGGCATCACTTATCACATTGCTCCTTGGATCCGGCATTCCTTATCACATCACCCCTCGGATCCGGCATCCCTTATCACGTCACCTCTCGGATCCGGCATCCCTTATCACGTCACCCCTCGGATCCGGCATCCCTTATCACGTCACCCCTCGGATCCGGCATCCCTTATCACGTCACCCCTCGGATCCGGCATCCCTTATCACGTCACCCCTCGGATCCGGCATCCCTTATCACGTCACCCCTCGGATCCGGCATCCCTTATCACGTTACCCCTCGGATCCGGCATCCCTTATCACGTCACCCCTCGGATCCGGCATCCCTTATCACGTCACCCCTCGGATCCGGCATCCCTTATCACGTCACCCCTCGGATCCGGCATCCCTTATCACGTCACCCCTCGGATCCGGCATCCCTTATCACGTCACCCCTCGGATCCGGCATCCCTTATCACGTCACCCCTAGGATCCGGCATCCCTTATCACGTCACCCCTCGGATCCGGCATCCCTTATCACGTCACCCCTCGGATCCGCCATCCCTTATCACGTCACTCCTCGGATCTGGCATCCCTTATTACATCATCACTCAGATCCAGAATCCCATAATTCATTATCTCCTCCATCTGGTTCCCCTTAATCCATACCCTGCTGTATCCAGTCCCCCCTCACCCAGCACTGCTTGCATTTGTTAACACCATATCTCATCTCCTTCTTTCCTCACTGCCTTGATCTGAGTCCATTATATCTATCCTTACATTACTGCAGGGATTTTATACCAATCTGCTTCAGTTATTGAGCCCCCTCATCTCTATCATGGTGTTCTGCTACTCTATCGTAGTTACCTTTTATAAAACCCAGTAAATCGCTCCCTCTCATTACTGCCTCTCTGTTCCACGCTCAGCTAGCTTTTACTGCGTGTTTGCTTAACCCACTACATCACGGCCCCTCTATTTAACTACTTACATCACCACTTCTATTCTTTACTCTGTAAATCCTCTTCTTTCTTAATACCCCATTTATCAGCTTCATTACTTGTCTTACATTCCCTGTATCTAACAGTTTCTAAATTTCAACTGTCTTGCCTTTTTTATTTTCACTATCTTTCTCTTGTCTGTTGCCACTTCCATTTAATTCTTTGTTTATCCTCATTTTATTGGTCCTCCTTATATCTCTGTCTCTATTGCTGTCTTGTTTTACTTCACGGTTTCCCTCCTTATTGCTATACAATTTGCTCCATCTCATTACTTCTCTCTTACCCTATTTTCATTTCCATTTTGACTCTTCCAAGTATTTTACAACCCCCTGTTAATACTTGGTCTTTCAGAGGCCCTGCATAGTCACCATGAATTACCCCCCTCCTGGTCTCTCTGGGAGCCCTCAGTCCTCGCTCACTTCCCAGGTGTCAGTTTCAGGTTCCTCTGTCCCTTCTCAGTTTGGCACAGTTCCACAGTTTGGCTCTGGATCAGTTCCAGCACCCCCGCCACCCGGTGCACCCCAGTATGTTCTTTCAAATTCTGTGGCCATCAGAGCAGAGATTCAGCGATTTGAGTCTGTGCACCCCAATATCTATGCCATCTACGACCTTATCGAGAGGGTGGATGACTTAGGACTTCAGAACCAGATCAGAGAACATGTCATCTCAATTGAAGGTGAGTTCTATTCATGTCCAGAATGCAGGATAATTCGGAGTAATTCTATAAGTGCAAGTTGGAATATGAATCAGAAAATCAAAATAAGAATCTTCTGTTGAGCTCTATGAAAATATTTGCATGTGTAAACATATACGTTTGTCAGGGTGTGAACTAACGGAGGCTGCACACACATCGCTCAGTGCAAATCAGAATGTCAGGTCTTGTGAAGGCTGTGACCCTGGTAGAATCCGTCGTGGTGTCAGTGACATGGACAGGCTGACACTAGTAGGATCTGTCATGGTCTTGGTTGACATAGACAGGCTGTGACCCTGGTAGGACCAGTCATGGTCTCTGGTGACATGGACTGGTTGCAACCCTGGGAGGATCAGTCATGGTCTCTTTTGACATGGAAAGGCTGTGACCCCCGGTAGTATGTGACATGTGCAGACTGTGACCGTGGTAGGATCAGTCATGGTCTTTGGTGACATGGAAAGGCTGTCACCTTGGTAGGATCAGTCATGGTCTCTGGTGACATGGACAGGCTGTGACCCTGGTAGGATCAGTCATGGTCCCTGGTGGCATAGAGATGTTGTGATCCTGTCATGGTTGCATAACATGAAGGATTATTGTGTACAAGGATTGGGGAGGCTGTGAATGTGCTGTCAGTCATGATTTTAGATGATGCAATAAAAAAGGTTGTCGTGGGAATGCTGGTCCTTCTCCTGAGCACCAGGTGGCTGCTGGGATTGAGTGTGGCTTCTACCATTATTTTTGCAATATGATATTCGATGATGTGAAGTCTGTGGACATGCTGGGCTCTGTCGTGTTGCCTGGTATTGGTGGGGAAGCAGTGTAGATGCTGGGATCAAACTTGCAGGGCTATTCACTAGCCCTACGTATACATTGATCTCAGGCGATGGAGGGAAGGCTGCGTATACATTGGTCTCAGGCGATGGAGGGAAGGCTGCGTATACATTGGTCTCAGGTGATGGAGGGAAGGCTGCGTATACATTGGTCTCAGGTGATGGAGGGAAGGCTGCGTATACATTGGTCTCAGGTGATGGAGGGAAGGCTGCGTATACATTGATCTCAGGCGATGGAGGGAAGGCTGTGTATACATTGGTCTCAGGTGATGGAGGGAAGGCTGCGTATACATTGGTCTCAGGTGATGGAGGGAAGGCTGCGTATACATTGGTCTCAGGTGATGGAGGGAAGGCTGCGTATACATTGGTCTCAGGTGATGGAGGGAAGGCTGCGTATACATTGGTCTCAGGTGATGGAGGGAAGGCTGCGTATACATTGGTCTCAGGTGATGGAGGGAAGGCTGCGTATACATTCGTCTCAGGTGATGGAGGGAAGGCTGCGTATACATTGGTCTCAGGAGATGGAGGGAAGGCTGCGTATACATTGGTCTCAGGCGATGGAGGGAAGGCTGCGTATGCATTGGTCTCAGGTGATGGAGGGAAGGCTGCGTATACATTGGTCTCAGGTGATGGAGGGAAGGCTGCGTATGCATTGGTCTCAGGTGATGGAGGGAAGGCTGCGTATGCATTGGTCTCAGGTGATGGAGGGAAGGCTGCGTATGCATTGGTCTCAGGTGATGGAGGGAAGGCTGCGTATACATTGGTCTCAGACAGGTAAATCCTATCAACATAAGCCAATATACACCTATGCCTAGAGGGACAGTGCTTAACACATAAATATGTCTTGTTCCCAGATAGAGGTGTACCAAATGTGATTCAGAGGGCTAGTTGGTAAAGTTATAATAACACACTACCCGAAGGGCGAATAAACAGTATACTATCCCCAGATAAGCACTTAGTTGTATACTTATAAAAAAGCTATCAACTAACATAAGTATACAATCAAAATATAAGCTCAAAAAGGGCCCAATCTGTACAGATAGTGGAGCTAACAGAGTCTAAATAGAAATGCAGTGTTACCACTGTAATATAAGAAAGTATCTATAAAGGGAAACATTCCCACTTATCAGTTGGACACGTTAAAATCTAGAGCCTGTCCGCTAAAACAATGTCAGTTTAATAAAGTAGATAATAAATAAATATACCAAACAAAGGACAAGATTGTATTGACAAAACTACCTATATAAGAGACTAAATATAAAAGTGCAAGTAAGTATATTATTAATATGTAAATAAGTGTGTGTGTGTGTATATAGTCCCTATATATAACCTAGGCAGTATAGAGATGGTACGGGGACCAAAAACCCATATCCATAGGAAGCCAAACCAAACAGTCTCAAAGTATCTGGGAAACAGAAAAAGTCAATGTAGTTTCCCAATTAGACATTTTGTACTGTGTCCCTAGTATGGCTGTAGCAAAGTAATGTATTAGCCATACATAATCAGCTGTTTTATATACAAAACAGATAAAGCCCTCAGTGATGGTCCATAAGTCTGTATTATAAAGGGTAAAGAATACAGTCCACAAAATAAAGTTTAGGGTAGTGTACAGAGGTGTAGCTTATATACTCAGCAAAAATCCATTAGGATCCCTATTAAAATAGCAAGCAGCTAGAGAGCGGCATGACACAGCTCAATGCGTTTCGGCGCTTAAGTGCGCCTTTTTCTAGAGCAAAAAACTAAGCCGAAATCAATTATGTTGATAGGATTTACCTGTCTCTTAGCCTTTACTTTGGATTACTGTCAGCAAATTCCATTAGGTTTCCCCTTTTTAACCACGTATACACTTTGCACAATTTCTTTTCACTTTTTTTATTCTTATGTCGTATGACGCAATAAAGGTTAAGTTTATTAGATTATTACTTATTTTTCATTATCTGTTCTCTT